ATTTATATATTTTTTCTTTTTTCAACAGAAAACATGGATGGTACACATAACAGCAGCAATCTCTTGCTTTACCAAGAATCAGGAAACCAAGAAAGTATCTTTATTCACATTGCCTGCAGAATCCTCTGAAATTTAGGGACTAAAACAAGTGGCATATGTTTTTAGAGATTAGGACTTAAGGTATTATTTCATTCAAACTTTTGTAACACTTATCTAGTGATGAGCTAGAAGGAAAAGTGCGTTTTAAAGGAGTTCCGGAATTTGAGAATTTGAGCTAGGAAAATCCTCAGTATAGAGGAATAATGACTGCAACAAATTTGAACTCTGAGGAATTTCTCGACAAATATATACGATATTCAGACTACCTTCTAATACTGCGGTCAGGTTTGTAAGAGGTGCGAGTGAAGAATGGTGCTATTATAATTTGTAAAGGGTGAATGATCAGATGCATGGAGTATCAGAAGGAAAACGTTCACTGCTTGTGTCCAACAGGAACACCAGCATCTTACTTTGTGTGTATCTATAAAATAATGAAACCAATTTTCCTGCATGGCTTGTACATCAGTCTTACTGCTTTATAGTCCTACCTCAAACACCATGATAATTCTTTTGATACAAAGTTTGATTACTCTTTTAATGTTATGCAATAAATAAGGTCTACATTTTAATAGCACCTTTAAAATTTCTGTTTTACCACAGTTTATTTATCTCAGGTGTACTTTATAATACTCTAATTTGCAAGTAGAAAACCTCAAAGACTAAATTCCATTATCTTATTTCAAGATAGAAAAAACTAGTATCTGTTCTGTTTTCACCAGTTAACACTTTTACATGGGAAATTGTCATGAATACGAATAGCAAGATATCTTTCTCTTAACTTTGTTTTTTGCAGAATGATGGTGTTTTGTCATAAAAATACTTTCTGGTTTTGATTGGTAGGTCTGTGTCTGTGTGTGTGTTTTAGCACAGTACAGTAACTTAATTTTATTTGGCAGGATTTAAAACTTCATTAGAATTTTTATCAAGAAAGGCAGTTTGAATTATTATATACACTATTAATTGCATTTAAGCAACTAGTTCTTAGGGTCAGATTATTATATCAAATGAAGTCCACAAACTTCAACTTCAGGCATGATACCTTTTGAAATTTCCAAAGCAGAAGCAGTAAATTTTTCAAGTTTGCCTGCAAGACAACTGAGACCTTAACTAATTTCTTTAAGCTGAAGCATGGGATAGAGAGAGAATGATGTTTTCTGGGGAAGTCATGTGCACAGTAATTCTTTGAGGAAGGAGCATATTTCCCCATGCAAACAAGGCAGTACAGCAAGTGCAGCAGAAAGACTCTTGTGCAAGGGCCCAGCACTCTTAGAATGGAGAGTAATAGTCTCTTCGTAGTAATGTCAGACATTTATTAGAAATAAAGAGAAAATAAAAGGAAAATCCGGAAAGCAATAACTATTGTTAATAGCTAAGAATAAGTGAGGAGGAAAAAAATCAAAGAGAAAAACAGACTTCAAGTGAGTTCCTACACATGGTATCTGGATGGGACTGAAAGCAATTATGTCCAGGAGAAGACAACATAGATTTATGCAAGAGAAGATATATAAAGAAATTTCTGGCTAAAAAAATATTTTTTAAAAAATTAACAATCACCTTCCAGAGATTTTTAGATATAAATCAACCTTGGAGGTGAGCAATGGACTAGGACTAGGTGACCTCTCAAGATCCCTTTAGTCCTGTGAGTCCAGCAACCACATATTTATAGGTATAAAGGACTAGTTTTCTCCCTCTGAATATCCTTAAAGGGAGAAAAAGATTGACTAAATTAACACAAGGTATGTAAAACAGCTCAAGAATATGTTATACATAAACTAGAGTTCTATAATGCTCAAAAAATAACATATCTAATATACAATATATTAAGTGCTTGAGGATATGCACATTAAACTCTTCAGAGGGAAGCACATTAGAATGAAATGGGGGAAAAAAACCATTCTGGAACCTTCATTCCTGGGGGGAAGGGGGAACAGCAAAAAACAATGGTACATTGAGCTTTCAAAAAAATATCTTTAGGCCGGGCGCGGTGGCTCACGCCTGTAATCCTAGCTCTCTGGGAGGCCAAGGCGGGCGGATTGTTTGAGCTCAGGAGTTCGAAACCAGCCTG